GAAGGAAGATCTCTGAGAGATCAAGGCCAGCCTGGTCTATATAGTGAGTTCTAGGCTAGCTGGGGCTACAAGGAGACCCTGTCTCAAACAAAAACAAGCAAACGCAAAACAACAACAACAACAAAACTCTAAAGGCCAGAGAGGGCGATTGGGTCCTGCTGGGTCATACGGTAAAGGAGAATGAGAAAGTTGCCCCCACCCCCACCTCTATTGCTTCATCCCCTCTCTCCGGCTCTGCTAACATCTGGGACCACAGCCCAGAACAGTATGGGAAGGTGGGGAAACAGGACACCACATACCCTGACCAACTTAGGTCCAACATGCATGACCCAATTAAGCACCATAGCTTTTTGGAGCCTCGATTTCATCACCTGAGAAGTGGAGACAGTAGGAGCTGTCACCTTCTGTCATCTCAGCAGGGCTGAGAGATGGAACTGGGGACACGGTGTGTGCTCCGTAAACAGAAACAGGCCTGCAGCTGTGTCCCCACGTGGGGTGGAAAGTTTGACTCTGTTCCTCTGCTCCACAGCTGTGTTCTACAATGATGGACGCTGACCTCTCAGGAGACATGGCAGGCGGATCTTCCTGCCCTTCGTGTCTCCCAGGCCCACCCTGCCAGCTGGCTCCCAGCCCTAGCTCAGGGTAAGTGGAAAAAACCTTGGCCTGTCCACACTGTCTGTGTGACCCTGGGCAGGTTAATCCCCCTCTCTGAGCTTCACTCCTAGTCCCCTCTGGAGCCGAGGTGAGAATCCTATCTGCTCTCTCTGAGGATTCTGCAAACACCCTGTGCACTGATGGCATCCAGGGAGTGTGATGCTTTTGTACCCCCATCAGTCCTGGACAGGTGTTGGGAACTCTGTGTGTCAGGTGGGGAAAGTGAGGCTAGAGAGATGAAACCACTTCTGAAGGTCGCTGGACAGGAAGTGGGGAGAGAAGGGAAAAGGAAGTGCTAAGACCGAAAGGGGAGAGAGAGAGAGACAGAGAGACAGAGAGAGAGACACAGAGAGAGACAGAGACAGAGAGAGAGACAGAGACAGAGAGACACAGAGAGAGACAGAGACAGAGAGAGACAGAGAGACAGAGACAGAGAGACAGAGAGACAGAGAGAGAGACAGAGACAGAGAGACAGAGAGCTACAGAGGGAGAGATGTAGAGGCCCAACTCAGGACCCCAGTATCCCAGAACAGGCTAAAGTTGGAGGCAGGCCACTTAACGAGGTCGCTAGCATGGGCCTAAGCAGGATGGGTGCTCTCCCAAGAGGAGGCAATCTGGATTCAGGTACACACAGAAGGAAGGCTAGTAAGGACAAGAGAGGACAGACAAGGGGACACTGAGGGGCAGGGCCTTGGGGAGAACCAGCCTCACTTACTCTTTGACCTTTTCCAGACCCCAGAGCCATGAGAAACTTGGTTCTGCAGCTCAAGCCATTAGGTCGGTGGGTGAAGGAATACAGCCAGAGCTACAGAGCTGGGGACGGGGACAGGAAGGGTCATGAGGGGGCTGGAGGAACAAGCCGGGGTGGGAGACACCTGCTGTAGTTCCCATCCCTGGTGGCAGCATGATAGGACCAGGGTCGGCCACTGTACCCTCCTCTCCCACTCTCCTGGGACCTACTCCCAGACCATGCTGAGCCAGGGAATATATTTAGTTGGGGCTCCTTGGAGATGGAGGGTTGGGGGGCCTTGTCGCAGACTGTCTGGCTGGGGAGTCTGCATGACTGTGGAGAAGAAACTCCGGCACAACAGAGGAGATGTGCTTAATGATTAGCACCCCAAGGAGACATTTTTCTTCTCCCCATGGCCCTCTCCAGCTCAAGCACACTCCATAGCTTCCCATTGCTGGCAGCTCCAGCCCCCGGCTCCCTTGAGGCTCTGCAGTTTGGCTCTTTCCCCCATTTAGGAAAACTCCCTGTTCCTCTAGGGAGTCTCTCTCTGTGTGGTTTCTGGAATCTTCTGGACTCATTCTAACCTCTACTCCTTTGTGCCCACTTTGGGATGCCCTTCCCCCTCTGAAGGTACAGAGCACTCCAGCTCCCCTCTGAACACGTTACGCCCTCTGAGCCCTGAGAAGATGAGCACACTGCTCCCCTGGCCTCAAATAGCTTTTCTCCATATGCGCTACTACCATAGAGGGGTCTGTACTGACTACCCACTCCCTCTGGACCACACACTACCCAGTCTCACCATCTCCCCAGACATCCTCTCTCTCCAGGGACCATGCCCACCGAGTCCCACTGCTGTGTGTTTGTCCAGTCTGTGTGCATCATGGGAACTCAACCCTCACCTGTCTTGCTCAGCTCTGTGAGCTCATACCCACAGCACACACATGGAGAACAAACACTCAGCAGGAACAGCTGAGTGACTGACAGTGTATCCTGGAAGAGTGGCTCTCCACCCCCTCCTCAGTGACCTATTAAGTATATTCAGAAATGGGGCCAGCGAGAGGATTCAGCAGGTAAAGGCGCTTGCCACCAAGCCTGACAACCTGTTCCATCCTTGGTATCCACACAGTAGAAGGAGAGAATGACTCCCACAAATTGTCCTCTGACTGTCACACATGGGCACACACACATACACACAGACGCACAAACATACACTCGCCTGCACACATCACACATGCATACACACACATAGACTCACACACAGATGTACATGTACACACAAAGATACACATACACATTCACATACATACACACATGCATGCACACACACCCTAAACATACATACATGCATACAGACATATCTACAGACATACATACACATATAAGCACGATATACACACACATATACACACACACATTACACAAACCCATACTCACATGTAAACACACACACATTCAAACACACATACACACATACAAACACATATACACATAAAACAAATAAGTAAATGTAATTAAAAATGTTTAAGTCTATGCAGAAATGGCCCAGAGTTTATAGAACATATGTGCATGGTGATGTTCATTTGTGTGAATGTGTGCACGCGTGTGTCTGGGTGTGCGTGTATGTGTATATGGTCAGTGTTGGTGGTCTTCCTCAATCATTGTCCACCTTATTTTTTAAGGTTTATTATTTATGTGTGTGTCTGTGTATGCACATGTGTAGTCATGTTTCTGAAGAAGCTAGAAGAGGGTATCAGATACCATGGAGCTGGAGTTAGAGGCGGCATGAGCCACCTGATGTGGGTGCTGGGAACTGGGCATCTAATCTGCAAGAGCAGCAGGCACTCTTAGCCGCTGAACTATCTCTTCAGTCCGTCCACCTCATTTTCTGAACCTGAAGCTCACCAACCCTTTGGTTAGACCGGCTGGCCAGTGAACCCCAGGGGGCCTTCTGTCTCTGCCTTCCCTGTGCTGGGATTACAGGCACATGCTGTGGCATGGCCTTTATGTGAGTGTTAGGGATCCAAATTCAGGCCCTCATGTACCCCAATCTCCTCGGCCCCCAGGTTCACAGAATACTCTTAACAGGTGCTAGGCATGAAGACTGCAGGTACTCTGCCTTCTTCTATCCTGTTTAATCCTAGTTTATTCTTACTGTCCTAGTAGAGGGAAAGCCTAGTGATGACCACAAAGGTCACAGGTAGGTCTGATGTCTGCAAGTCTAGGACCATTGCCAACCCTTGAGCTACACCACAGGGAAACCCCCTTCCTGAGCACACCAATCAAGTCTTTCCTGCTCTGTCCTTGATGGGGCTCTTCTGTGACCACAGCCTTTGAAGCCTGCTCCTCTGTCAAGGGCGGGCACAACAGTGGCTCACTGGGTACCTGCCTTATGGCCTGGGACATTAAAGCCTGGGATTTCCAAACTAGGGACCCACCTTAGTCTTTAGAGAACTCCTGTTGGGAAGGCCAGGTGGTAAAAGAGTTGGAAAATGGGAGCTGTGGTTGAAGAACAGAGGTGGGCTGTTTGTTGATATCCCTTCACCCTACCCGGATTCCAGCTCTTTCAATAACTGGGGTGGGACTTGTCACACTGCAAAGTCTGAGGCTTGCTTCAGCCCCTGGGGCTGTACAGGCCTGGAGCAGGTGGGACTCCATCCTCCAAAACTTCCTTCTGTCTCAGGCTGGTGAGAGGGCTCAGCAGGTGAGGGTGCTTGTCACCAAGCCTGACGACCTGAGTTTGATTTCTGGAGCCCTCAGCCCCCAACATAAATGAAAACAAAAACAAAAACTTCCTTCTCTAGACCTCTCTGTGTCTGTGCTGAACCCCTGCTCTCCAGGTGAGTACTGGAGATACTCCACTCTCCCTGCCTGTCTACCCATCTGCACTGCGGACCTGTGGAATTGTCTGGAGGATTCACAAAAGAACTCAGAGAAAATTTGGCAAATAATAAACATGCTGGAGATGGGAGATAGCTCAGTGGGTAAAGCATGTGCCCAGTAATGGTGAGGGCCTGAGTTCAGTCCCTCAGTTCACAGTCACAGCCGGTCAGTGATAGTGGTGGCCCCTGTCATCCCAGGGCTGAAAGAGCAGAGAGGGAGGCTCTCTAGGGCCTACCAGCCAGTCACTTTAGCCAGTTGGTGAGCTCCAGGTTCAGTGAGATCTTGTTTCAAAAAACAAGGTGGAGATTGTAGAAGACACTTTGCTGTCGACCTCTGGCCTCTGCAGGCACCTAGGCTACCCACACAGAGGGAGAAAAAAAAGCAAACTATACTAAACAAGGCATCTGGATTCTTATTGCTTTTTCTTCTGATCCTATCACATGTGTCCTGCATGGCTCAGGAGCTAGGGGAGTGGAGGGATAGGCGGTGATGGTCGGTGCCTAGTGGGGGCCGTGGTGCATCCAGATACCCAGACACCAAGTGCAGCTCCCTAAAGTGCTTCCCCGGGTGCTTGGTGCAAAGCCGGTCCTTAAGGGCTGCTGGGCTGGTTACTGCTGGTTATCTTTTACTGTGACTGTAATTCTTTGCTGTAGCCTTGGCCCTGGTGGGGGCTGCCTGTGGGTAGCCCCTTGCTCTGGATGACCCTGGGCACCCTCCCAGGACCCTCGTGTCTTACCCAGGCGGGATGGAGGCGCGAGCGCTGACGCTGGTGGTGCGCTGGGGTCCCGGACGGTTGAGGTTGTTCCTGCCCGGGGTGGGCGCTCCATTGGGTGCGCTGGGGCTCCGCGGGGGACCCCCGGGGGGCGGCGCAGTTTCCGTGGAACCGGCGGCAGGCGCGGCCCAGAGCGCGGCCCCGGCGAAGGTGGCGCTGGGGCGCACCGCGAGCGCGCCCGGAGGCCCTCCAGGAGGCAGCGGCGGCGGCTGCGGGGGCGCTGGAGGCGCGGGTTGTGCAATAAGCGCCTTTCGGCGCTGCGAGGCCAGGATGGCGTTGGAGGCGGCGCGCGTGCTGTTCACCAGCAGGCACTGCTGACAGGAGCACGGCTGACCCGAGCTGGCTCCCACCGGCCAGGACTGGGACTTGGGGATGGAGCCCACCGTGAGCGGGTAGGCCAGGTCCAGGCGGCGGCGCAGGCGGCGGCGGCGGCGCGTCTGGCGGTTCATTTGCGACATGCTATTGAAGTAGATGAGGTAGCAGAAGCCGAGCGACGAGAGGTCGAGCCACGGGTGCTGCTTCTCGTAGGCGTTCTGAATGGTGATGCAGATGTCCATGTCGTAGGCCGTCCACGCGCCACCGTCGTTTTCCCATTCCCACACGATGCCCTTGCCTGGCGCGGATGACGGGTCGTAGAAGTTGCGTCGCACCGGCCGCATGGTGCCTGCGCTCAGCAAAGGAGAGGGATGTCAGCGCCCATGGGCCGAGGGGAGCATGTGGGTCAGCACAGGTCATCCCAGGGCGTGCAGGGGATCAGCTCGCAGGGAGGTCAAGACATGGGGACTGGCCAGGTGAGAGTTCCAGTGGGTAAAGGCACCTGCCACGAAGCCTGAGGACCTGAGCTCAACGCCCCAAACCTGCATGATGGAAGGAGAGATCCAACTCCCACAAGTTGTCCTCTGACTTCCACATGCACACATCCCCCAGTAAATAATGAATAAATGCAATTTTAAAAAGACATACGCGGGGCTGGGAAAGAAACAGGCAGAGGTCCAGTCAACTCATGCCTATAAAAGTGTGTGTGTGCAGGAGGGCAATAAAGGGGGCCAAGACAGCTGAGGGGGAAGTGAGGGAGGGAGGAGTCTGGAGAGCCACCTCACCCTTTGCAGGGGCAAGTCAAGTCCTGAAGGCCTGGTTATCACAAGTCCGGGGAGGGCAGGCAAAGTGGGCAGTGACCACTCACTGGTGTATTCCCAGGGTGCCCATTGGTCCCTGCATTTGTGGGTTCACTGTTCTCACATGGCATACTGGATTCTGCACTCCCTCCACTGGTCCACTCACCCAGTCACATGCCTTCCTGCACTCATTCACACCCAGCATCCTCCCTCCCTCTCTCTTCCCTCCCTCCTCCCTCCTTCCCTTTTTCTTCCCTCTTCCCTTCCTCCTTCCTTCTTTCCTCTCTCTCTTTCCTTCATGCTTCCGTCCTCCTTCCCTCCTCCCTCCCTTTTTCTTCCCTCTTCCCTTCCTCCTTCCCTCTTTCCTCCCTCTCTCCCTCCCTCTTTCTTGCTTCATTTGTGTTCCCTCAAAAGCCCACACTCCTTCTTCCCACCTGAAGATCCCCCTGGCTTGTCCTGGCTTCTGTGCTCCCCAGTGTCACAAACCCAGGTGCTGGCTTTGTTTGATTTACTCCTGGAGCTCAGCTCCAGAGGGGGGCTTGCTGAATGAATGAATGAATGAGTTCATTAGTTCACACATCCGGTTTTTGGGGGTGGTACTCCTGGTGACCCTCCAACCCCAGATCCTCTGTCCTTTCCTCCCCATCTCTCTTCCTCCCTCTCTCCCTTTTTCTTTCTTCTCTCTGTGTCCAGCCCTCAGTAAACAGGCGCTGACTGTTGTCTGAGGGCAGAGAGTGCAGTCAGACCTCACACTGTAGCTCTGTGATAACCCAGCCTGGCCTGGCGGATGGTCACATCCCGGTGGGTTAAGCTGGGGTGCTGTGGCTTCCTCTCTGTGTTTGCTCTGCATTGGCCACAAGCTCTAAATTCTCCATGGGAGCCAAGTTCTGGGGAAAACGGAGATCAGCAATGCCCAAGACAGGGCTGCAGGGCTTCCCAGAGCCTTTACCTGGCTCTGGGCTGCCCCAGTCTGCAGCACAGAAATGCCTCTGCAGGATTTGCCTGTAAAATGGGGGTATCTATACCTACCTCCAGAAACTTCTGGGGGGACAAACTAAAAAGTCATGATAAAGGTGCTTTGCTGGACATGGCACATATAAGTCTTTCAAAGATGTTGACTGTGATTGCTGTTAAATTACACATTACCTACTTTCAGCCTCCTGCAGTCTATGTTCATGTGGTGAGCTCTTATTCATCCAGCAAAGCCCTGTGCCAGTGTAGGCCCTCCAGCAAGGGCATCTGAGATCTGCTACTCTAGCTGGCACATGTAGCTTTTGTGCTGTCATTAGATGGTTTTTATTCTCCATCTCCTGAACTGGTGGATAACTTTTGGGGGTGACAAAAGCCAGATAGGAGCAGTAGTATTTCCCAAGCATGGCTTGAAGTGGGTATCTATAGCTAAATACCAGGCCTAGTTGGCACATGTAGGTGGAGCAGAAGGGTAGGGGTAGGGGGACCTAGTCTGGTAGAGAGGAGGGGAGATGGGGCCAGCAGTGGGGAGAGGGCTCCAGAGGTTGGCTTGGCTACTCTGTAGCAAATGATTCAGGGAGCTGGCTGGTTCCTCATCCCCTCCCCAGGGCTCTGTTTACCAGGCATCGATTTTCTTGCCTGTTTACTGGTAGTTATTAAAGGCCGTGTCCCTGGAGTCCTTTTGAGAGAGGATTGGAACCTGGAGAGCTCCAGTAATTAGGGCAGCTGCGCCTGCCCTGCCGGGCCCTGCACCCCACTGCTCCCACTGTGCCCGCTGTGCCTGCTGCACCCACTGCTGCCTGTCTATCTACCTCTCTGGCCCAGGCTGGCTGTGAACCAGGCCAGGGGTGGGGTGTAGCTGGCTCCCCAGTGCTGGCCTGGACTTCAATTCTGAGATTCCCCAGGCAGCTCTGCTGGCTGTACTGGCCTCCTCCATGGTGGCCTTGGCCTAGATTTTTAGACAGAACAATGAATCTGAGATGGGACTCAAGGTGCCTGAGTCTGGGAGACCAGCCACTGTGCCTGGGCCCCTAAGCCAACCACACCTATCTCTAGTCCTCCACTACTGGGCTGACCCATCAGAATCTGGGTCCCAGGGTGTAGGAACATTCTGGGCCTGGTTTTGTTGTCAGCATTTCTGGTTACTTTTCCTTCTCTGCCCAATAAGAAAGCTTGGTTGAAAAACTCCAGTCTCCTTCCAGGTGAACTTAGGGGGGCCAGGGGTTAGTGTCTATGAGGAGGCACTCAGACACTAGAGGGAGCATGGGTGACACAGAGGGAGGGAGTGAGGGAGGGAGAGAGGGAGGGAGGGAGGAGCGGGAAGGAAGGAATATGAGAGAGCAATCTAGGTAACTTTCCAAGAAGCTGGTTTTTCAGCTAAGCGGAGGAAGCTACTACTGATGGAGAAGTAATTAAATCATGTTTGATTGCAATGGCCAAGGAAGTGTATGCAAAAGACTTTAACAATTTTTACTATTTATTTATATGTGGGTATGCATGTGTGAGAACATGCCTGAGACAGAGAATGAGAGACAGAGACAAAAAACGAGAGAGAGATGAGAGAAACACACAGAGACAGAGACAGAGATAAGACAAAAAGAGACAGAAGAGACAGAGACACAAAGACAAAGAGAGATGAAAGACAAGGAGAGAGAGGCAGAGACAGAGGAGGGAGGAGACACAGAGACAGAGAGGAAAAAGGCAGAGGCAGAGACAGAGACAAAGAGACTGAAGCAGAAACAGGCAGACACAGGGCTGGAGAAAGAGACTGTCAGAGACGGCAAGACCCACATGGAAGCAAGTAGGGCAGGAACCAGGTACTGGGTCAGAGAATGAGCCAGAAACTTGAGGGTCAGAGCCGAGGCTGAGTGAGGGAAGAGAAGCCAGGAGGTAAAAAGGTTACAGTGTCACCAGAGAGCAGCAGCTTGCAAATGCCTACTGTGCGCTCCTTGCTGAGCACCTACTGTGCAAGCCAGCAAGCTCAGCTGCTGTGCCCTACCTCCCTTCAGCCTCAGGCCATGCAGACTGGTCCCATTTTGCACTAAAGGAAACGGGTCTGTGGAGCGAAGATCTCAGGAAAGTGAGAGCAGAGATCTGAGAACCCTATCCTAGCATACAGTAAAGGAAGGGCCAAGTCGGATGGCTTGCTTTCTAAGGGTTCCAGCCAAGTCAAGTGTAGTCTAGCCTAGGATCCCTCCAACCAACGGGGAGCTCACCACCTCAGTTTGCTTTCCATTCAGCTGTGTAAGGTTCTTGGCCTGCCCTGCTCCTGCAACCTACAGGTACAATGTGAGGGGATCTCTGAGATTCCCCAGCTCTCAGTCTTAAGAACAAGTCGACTCTGTGGAGAGAGGAGTGCCCCCAGGCTCTCTGCTTATCCCTCTGGCACCAAACAGTCCCCTGTGGCCAGAGCTGGGCCACCTTCAGGGTCCTCTATGGGACCCTCCTTTTGGGGGTGGCTTCCTGAAGGCAAATGACCTCATTTTCGAGTACCCAGACCTGAGAGGAAGGAAGACCTGAGGGAGGTGGCCAAGGGCATCCTGTTAGGTGGGGGCCTGTCCTGTAACTTGGGGCTGGGCAGTGAATTGAACATGTTTGAGCTCCACTGGCTGCCAGGCTCTGGAAAGGACTTTACAAGATCTTTTATCATCCCAGAAGTGAGTGGCATGGGTGGTGAGCACGTTGCCTTCCCAGAACTCACTTCCCCATCCTCAATCAAGCTGTGCAGTGGACCTTGTGCCTCAGGTACAGCTGAGGAAACACAGGTGCTAGGTGGTCCCACAACACATCTGGTCTCATCTGCAGCTCCTTGGTCTAGCAGCCCCCAGCCCAGGACACCTGCCTCATGCTGAAGCTCCTTTTTCTATGTGCATTCACAAGCCCGTGTTACTGTAGAGGAAACTGAGGCACAGAGGCTGCATAACAAGTAAGAGACACAACTGAGACTGAAAGAGAACTGGGGTACACCCAAGGCTGGCTGTCTACAAGGACTGGTCAAGGCCATTCTGTAGCAAACAACAGCAGCAGCAGTAATAGTACCAGCTCCTGTGCTAAGTGAGGCCTTCCAGCATCATCTCCCCATGGGAACCCATTTGGAAACCAGGGAGACTGAGGCTCTTCAGAAAGACACAGAAGTTCAGCGGGGCTGTGGTCAGGCTGGGGTGGAAACAACCTCCTGTGGTTCAAGCTGCCTTGCTGCGCTCCTGTTGCAATCGATGAACCTGCAGTTTTCTTTCCCTTCAATGGCTCCCCAGGGTCTCATCAGGCCCAGCCGCAACCCATTAGTGGTTTGGGGACCATAGGAGCTGCCCAGGCTCCCTGGGGCTTCTGGCAACATGGGCTGTGGTAGTGGACGAGGAAGACTCAGTGTCCAGCTTTACTCTACTCTGCCTGTCCACTGATGCCCCAAACTGCCACAGCGGGGGGCCCCTGCGTACCCCATGGCCCCGAGGCCCCCTTTCCACTGATTCCCTCTCACTGGGATTCAGACACCCTGGCTCAGCGGCAGCTGAGAGTAGGAATGGGAGGAGGGGACAGAAGGGGCCCTCAGACTTTCCTTGGACCCAAGAAGCTGCCCCTG